AAGGGATGGGGTATCTGTCTTCTAAAATCAGTAATAGATGCTTAACTTTGTCAACTGTCTTTCTGACATCTACTGATATAAATCAGAATTTTTTTTACTACTTTCCCAATTAATGTGACATATTTTGGTTTTGTTGTTCTTAAACTGGCACTGCATTCCTAAAACAAATCCAGTTCAGTCGCAGCCACAAGTCAGTAATCCTGGGTGTGTGTTGCTATCTGCTACCATTTTATTTAGAAATTCTATATCAATGTTGACAAGTGAGATTGGCCTATATTATCAGATCTTAGGATTTAGGATTAAGCCCATATCACCCTTAAAGAATGCAATTGACTATCATGCCATCTTGTTCTATAATATAGAAATTGTGAGTTTTTTGAAGATTGAATATTTTTTCTAGCAAATCCTTTTATTCTAGCTGCTTTTATGGGGGAGGAGAGAACTTTTTTTTTTATCTTTTATCACATCAATTATGCCAATAGAAGACTGACTTTGTTGACATTTTTAAAGAGCCAAATCTTGATTGTATTTATGGGTTATAAGGCATTTTCAATTTTAAATTATTATTATTATTATTATTATATATTTTTTGAGACAGAGTCTCACTCTGTTGCCCAGGCTGGAGCACAGTGGTGCGATCTCGGCTCACTGCAACCTCCGCCTTCTGGGTTCAAGTGATTCTTGGGCCTCAGCTTCCTGAGTAGCTGGGACCACAGGCACACGCCAACACATCCAGCTAATTTTGGCATTTTTAGTAGAGACGGGGTTTCACCATGTTTGCCAGGCTGGTGTCAAATTCCTGACCTCAAGTGATCCGCCTGCCTCAGCCTCCCAAAGTGCTGGGATTACAGGCGTGAGCCACCACGCCTGGCCAGTTTAACAATCTTTACTAATTTGTTATTTTTTAGTTTGCTGCTTTGCTCTTTTTTCACATAATTATAGTTCTCTATTTTCTTTTTAAGTACTTAGAGGAATAAGATTTCTTAAAACTGACAGACCACCTATATGGTATTTACATTATTTAAAAATAGACTTTTATGGTAATACTATATATATTTTATTACATTCTATATGTTTTCTCTAACTCAGTTGCTATTTAGGACTTTTATTTTGCCATTAGCTCTATTTTAAAATTACTTAAACAGTACATGCATGAGGTGAGAAAGTTAAACTATACAAGGAAGAAGGCAGTCTTCCTTCCACCCTATTTCCAGCCTTCCAAGTTGCCTCCTTAGAGAGACTTGCTGTTACCAGTTTCTTGGGTAACCTTCTGAAGATAATTCATGTAGATGCATGTTTATTTCTTTTACAAAAATGAGAGGACATTATACACTGTGTTCTGTGTCTTGAATATAAGCCTACATAAAAGAATTTATCACAATTTTAACATGGCTTAGTATTTTTTAATATATGGCCTTTTCTTTAAATTTATCTTATTTTTTTGGAGATGGGGTCTCACTCTGTCCCTCAGGCTGGAGTGCAGTGGCACCATCTCGGCTCACTGCAACCTCTGCCTGCCAGGCTCAAGCGATTCTCCCACCTCAGCCTCCCGAGTAGCAGCCACCACTCCTAGCTAATGTTTGTATTTTTGTAGAGACAGGGTTTCACCATGTTGCCCAGGCTGGTCTTGAACTCCTGGACTCAAGTGATCCACCCACCTCAACCTCCCAAAGTTCTGGGATTACAGGCATGAGCCACCACACCCAGCACTTTTATGTATTTTTTATTTCTAATTTTATTTCATTATGATCGATTCAGGTAGTTTTATGAAATTTCTTTTTGTATTTACTAGCATGTACACTGTAACATGATAAATGATCAATTTTATGAGTCACATAGCTTTTTTATTGAGACATTCTCACTCTTTCACCCAGGCTGGAGTACAGTGGCACCATCATAGCTCACTGCAGCCTTGAACACCTGGGCTTAAGCAATCCTGCCTCAGCCTCCTGAGCAGCTGGGACTGTAGGCACAGGTCACCAAGCCCAGCTAATTTTTAAAAAAATTTTTGTAGAGAAGGGGATCTTGCTCTGTAGCCCAGGCTGATGTCAAACTTCTGGCCTTAAACGATCCTCAAACGATCCTCCTATCTTGACCTCCCAAAGTGCTGGGATTATAGGTATGAGCCACCACACCCAGCCCACATAATCAAGAGAAATATACTTTCAAAAAAGCTTATGTTTAATTTTCTCTAAATCTGTTAATTCTATTTTACGAGTTATTCAGTTTAAAACTGACTTTTTTCAGTATGCCTGATCTTTTATGATGGTGTAAAAAACACTTCCACCAAAATTATGTTCCTATTTCTACTTACATATGTATTTTATTATTTAAAGCATGTAGAGCCAATAACGTTTTTTCCATGATTTACTGTGCTTTTAACTGTCTTTTTTGCTTCTGAAATGCATTTTAGTGTAAAGATCTACTTTTTCAGATAACTTGAAGTTTTGGCTTTTTCATGCATATGTAGTGGGAGGTATATACATGGTAACTTACAAAATACTCTTGTTTACTTAGGTCATTTTCCTTGAATAATTTGGAATTTATCTTATCTAGGACCTAAACTAAAAAATGATGTGTTTCTATTTACAATTATATTCCTATCAGTTACTTAAAGGGTTTTTTCCTGAAGGGAGAGCATCTCACCGGCACTGAGGCCAGGAAGGGGAAGGCAGATACTACTGCTTCCTTCTTATTTAGTGCTCTTGAAATGCAGCGGAGGCCAGACACGGTGGCTCATGCCTGTAATCCCAGTGCTTTGGGAGGTCGAGGCGGGTGGATCACTTGAGGTCAGGAGTTCAAGACCAGCCTGGCCAACAAGGTGAAACCCCATCTCGACTAAAAATACAAAAATTAGCCAGGTGTGGTGGAGCATGCCTGTAATCCCAACTACCTGGGAGCTTGAGGCAGGAGAATTGCTTAAATTTGGGAAGCGGAGGTTGCAGTGAGCCTAGATCACACCATCGCACTCTAGCCTGGGTGACAGAGCGAGATTCCATCTCAAAAAAAAAATAAAAAAATAAAAAATAAAAATGAAAAAAAGTGGAACATGCTCCCTAAAGTGGCAGGAACTTCCAGTGTTGGCTCAGTGACATACTATGTAGAATATGCTTTGTAATGATGGCAACTATGCCAGATTGACCAAAACTGTGAGGGTGTTTCCTTTTGCTCTTCTCTTCGTACCTTAGATAATTGTCTGTCTGCAAGATCATGTTTTTCACCAAACATCTCCGTAAGTCCTGTTCATCAAACATATACACACTACTTATAAAACCCCCATGGCATTATCAGCCTAACAGTTCAAAAAACTTGTCACCTTTCTATATGTATTTAACACAAATTGGTACACAAACACAGGTAAATATACATGTCTTATCAAAAATATCTTAAAAGATTTACTTGTAAATGGACAGAGATTATGAAGTCCCCTATCCATAAGATTTTTAGACCCATGGCTTTCTTATACAGCAATAAAGCATTACTGAATCACAACTTCATAAATGCTAACTGTACAAAAGGAGACAACTGAAAACCACATCGTTTCTAATATTACCACTGAAATTCACAATGTCAATCTTCCAATTCCTCCTGTGACAGTCTTCAATGTATCCAGTTTCTTCAGGCTTAAGGAATATTCACATCTCACACTTATGAGAAACATGAATGTTTTATTCCCTTACCGCAGTAAATAAACTAAATTCCCAACAGTGCACTCAGAGTTTCAAGCTTATATATCTCCAGAGAGGAAAAAAAAAACAATTGAGGAAAACTAAATTTAGAAGATGAATCAGGGTACTAAATTAGTAAACTCGCAAACAGAAGTTTCTAAGAAGGACTGTAAGAAAGTGACATGTAATTAGCTAACCCTCGGCATTTTCCTACTCCTCACTCCTGCTTCCAGACACCACAATGCTGCCCAAACACAGGCTCACATGAACACAACACTTTCCCAAGTTTGAATCTACACATTTGATCACATTAGCATTTTATCGACTAATATCCACTTTGGCCTCCATGCCAAGGATAGAGCTCTATTAAGTGAGACTGTGATAAAACAAGGACTCCTGTCAACCCACACCAAAGCCACTCAAAGGAAGTTCAGAATGAACTGACCTTCCCACCTCATCTACTGAATTATGTTACAGTGAGAAGGAATTAGCTACCCTGTTGTAAGAGGCTGTAATTATCCTATCAGTTCCTCTATAAAACAGTTTGGTTGGTAACCAGAAATAAAAACAGCAACAAATGGATTATTTTGGTGGTGTTAATGGAAGAGATGCTAAGGTATCTCTAAGAAGCTGTATAAACTTAAATCCTAATGAAGGATGGAAAAAGGACCAAAGAACCATGACACTTAAATTTCAAACACCCACTGAGATCTGGACGTGTACTGGTAAACTCTCCCAAACTCTTCAAAAAATACTAACAATTGAATTCAACATTTTCATCGAACTCAATCACTAAGTGCATCCCCCCAACTTTTTTTTTTTTTTTTTTTGAGACAGGGTTTTGCTCTGTCACCCAGGCTAGAGTGCAGTGGTACAAACATGGCAACCTCCTGGGCTCAAGCAATCCCCCCGCCCACTGCCCCCTGTCTCAGCCTCCCAAGTAGCTGGGACCACAGGTGCATGCCACCACATCCAGCTCATTTTTAAATTTTTTGTAGTGACAGGGGTCTCACCATGTTGCCCAGGCTGGTCTTGAACTCCTGGCCTCAAGCAATCCTCCCACCTTGGCCTCTCAAAGTGATGGAATTACAGGTATGTGCCACTGCACCCAGTCAAAGTACCTTTTAGTATTGAAAATTTAAGTAACTATTGGCAATGCTTTAATTAGAATTACTTTACAGATATGAAAACAGGAAGATGAAATTATCCCATGTCTAAGGCTGCCCCCTATAGAAAGGGTTCAGTATGTACACGGCGACACCCATTCACTTACACCAAACTGAAAGATGGATACTCAGGGAGAGCAAACCACTATTGAATAATTCTTCTGACCTGCAGAATGAGAACGAAGTAGTCTACTGGCTTGTTGCGCTGGTAGAGGTAGTATTCAGGGGCTTTCTTGTTCTTCTCATCATACTTCAGTTCCTGGATGACATTGGGATGCTTTAGCAGCCTTAGAAGGATCTTCTCTGACATCTGGGATGGGCTAAATGCTTCTACTTCTATAGATATAAACACAACTTGATATTACATTTCAAACGGAGGGAGAAGAATTATACTATTAATAGTAATTGAGGTGTTTAGATAAGAATACTTGGAATCAAAGTGATAGTATTTGGATGGATGAGGCTTCCGCTTGGTGATCCACTGGGGACAGATTACCTGGGAGAAATTAGAAAGTGCTGAATTCTCAAGTTTTTTCCTTTTACTTCTTTCCTTTTCAACCCGTCATGGACTTCAGTCCTCATAAAACTACACTAATTTGACTGACAGAAATGAAAATCAACCGCAAGCGGGCTCCTTGAGTGCGGGGGATGCCCCTCAACAAGCCATAACAGTCTGACTGTCGACAAACAGCCAAAGGAAGAAGCCAAGGTCAGGAGCATCGGGTGCGGTTAGTGCCAGCGCACACACACGGGTGCCCCACGTCTCCCTCTCCCACTCAACTACCCCGAGGAATGTGGGGAACAAAGAGGGTTGAGACTGGAAATAAGAGCAGGGCATGTGCACACATCAACATGCTAATTAAAAAAAAAAGTAACGTTCAAAAGTATTTACGAAGATAGCAATTTTATTTTAAATACAAAAACAAAAATTACTGACTGAAGGGTGCTATCCTACAACTGGACTCTATGATATCTCAGAAGCAGAGTAGGAGATTTAGTTTTGGTGTTTTTTGTTTTGTTTTGTTTTTTTTTTTTGAGAAGGAGTCTCAATCTGTCACCCAGGCTGGAGTGCAGTGGTGCGATCTCGGCTCACTGCAACCGCCACCTCCCGGGTTCAAGTGATTCTTCTGCCTCAGCCTCCCGTGTAAATGGGATTACAGGCGCCCACCACCATGCCTGGCTAATTTTTGTATTTTTAGTAGAGATAGGGTTTCATCATGTTGGCCAGACTGTCTCAAGCAATCAGCTTGCCTTGGCCTCCCCAAGAGCTGAGATTACAGGCAATGAGCCACCATGCCCGGCCTAGATGTTTAGTTTTAATTTGTGGTTCTTAAATGATGAGGAACAGTATTATCAAAACTAGAAAAAGAATAATAACTGAAAGACATTGTCTGTTATTTTCTAATTATGTATTTATGAAAGCTGTAAGTTCTGTATTAACTTGACTTTTTTGTAATAAGACAGTCATTATAGGAATTTTAGAAAATACAGAAAAAGAAGAAAGTAAAAATTATCTATAAGCCAACCACTCAGATTACCATTCTGAGCAATTGAGTGAGAATTTCTTTCCAGTGCCATGCCTAGGCACGTGTGCTCATGTATCCATGTGTGTACACACAAAAACACAACTCTAATCTTAAAGTACACATAGTTTTAGATTGTTTCTCCCCACTTTGTATTAAGTTATGAATATTTTCTAATGTGATAAATATTATATTGAGCATCTCCAGGCTTCTGAGAACGCGACCTTAAAGAGTTACACAGCATTCCGTCAGGTGGTTACGGCTAGCCTTCTTTTAAACATGGTTTAAGTCTACTGCATGCAGATGAAAGGCACTGGCTGCCTATCAGGGACACTGATGTCTTCTAAAGCCAATGGATGCTTTAGACTTTCTCACACTTCCCCTGGCCACCAGAGCTCAACCCTGGAGAGCATCTGGGGATGGGAGAAGGGTTGGTCAGTATCTTAAGTTCATTCAACGTTGACCTCTCTGGAGCAGTCAGTGCCGGCTGGGTTGGTGGTTTAAACAACATGAACACTTGCCTCCTGAAATGGACTCGAGTTAATCTGATCTGAGGAGGCCATCAAGAAATCCATATCAAAGTTCTTAGAATTTGATTTCATTAAAACCATAAAAGATAAAGATTTAATTGTGAAAACCTAGTTTTCTTCTTTGCAAATCACAGCCCCTGTGTTACCACTGATGTCCAACTGTGCTTCCAGGACAAGCTGAAGAGAGACTGGACTCAGTTGTCCATCAAACAAGCTGGTGCCAGGCTGGCACCATCAGCCTGCTCCGCCAGCTGGCTCTCCCACAGACCTAGCTGGAAGGAGATGGCCTGGCCTACTGTTCACATGCAGTGTGGCACTAACATTCATCCTTACCTTTCAGACCAATTTTAAGTTACTGGTCCACCCCTGGTAAATGTCTCAGAGGGTTCATGCCGACACTGAACATAGGAGAGGAGAGAATTTAAAAAGAAAAAAACAAAACAAAACAAAAAAACAAAAAAACAAAAAACAAAACACAAAAGTGGCATTACTTATCACCCCATTTCCCAGTGTCCACCCCCAGCCCACCCCAGTCAGTGGTGGGTGAGAAACACACTCCAGGGTTGGTAGAGATCTCAAACTGTGATAAGCTGCACTTGCCTGTTGCTAGGAAACGGTGCATGGCCAGGAGGAGCTGTGGTGATATTTTAACCTTCATCTCGCTGTCTGTCTGCTTAAAGGCAGAAAAATCTTGCTTTCGTTCCCGGTGAGCTACTTTCTTTTTTGTTCTGTTGTCAGCTAAGGGAGGAATGAAAAGAGAAAAAAAAAATAAGAAAATGCATCCCATGAGATCAGGGTTCTTTCTCAATGAAAAAGACAAAATATATTGGAAGGGCTGGACTGTATTTCCAGATGCAGGCGCTCTATGCACAGATGTCACAGGGAAGGAGGAAGGGAGGGCCAGATCCTCATCAACTCAGCACAGCAGCCTGGGCATCACGCAGTCCGCAGCGAGTGACCACAGGCAGCCTGATTAGTGAATGTACTTCAGGAAGGTCTGCAGAGGGCCCTTGTGAGCATAGCATCAGGCAAATGCTGACAGAGCCTCTCACAGGACCCACAGAAGCATATAGCAACAGGGCGTGCAGCCTGGAGTGCACAGTCCACTGCTGCTCAATGTCACCATACTCCAGCAAAGGACCACCACTGTGTACACACAAGGGAGGAGTGTCCCTACCTGTAAGAGGCCCCTCACCTCTGCTGAAAGACAACACACAAACGAAACCCCCTTAAGAAACAAACAAGAATGCTTTCGCAGAGCAGTGTTTTAATAATATCTGTTTGCTTCACTGCTACTCCAGACCATGAGATCCTCAAGGTCAAGCAGATGCGAATGGGATCCGGACAGTGGTCCGTGAACTTCCTCTGAAAAGGTCCAGGGAGTCAGTATTTTAGGCTCTGCGGGTCTACACAGTCTCCACACTGCTGTTTAGAAAGATGAAGGAGCATGGCTGTTTTCCAATCAAACTTTCTTTATGAACACTGCAATTTGAATTGCATATAATTTTTGCACGTCACAAAGTAATTGTTCTTTTTTTTTTTTCTTTTCTTTTTTCTTTTCTTGAGATAGGTTCTTGCTTTATTGCCCAGGCTGGAGTGCAGCAGCACAATCGCAGCTCACAGCAGCCTCAACTCCAAGGCTCAAGTGATCCTCTCACCTCTGCCTCCCAAGTAGCTGGGACTGCAGGTGTTTGCCACCATGCCCAGCTAATTTTTAAATTTTTTGTAGAGACAGAGTCTCACTATGTTGCCCAGGCTGGTATTGAACTCCTGGGCTCAAGCAATCCTCCTGCCTCAGCCTCCCAAAGTGCTAGGATTACAGACATAAGCCACCATGCTGGCCATTTTGCAACAATTTTAAGATGTGAAAAGACATTCTTAGCTTGCAGGTCACACAGAAGCAGAGTACAGGCACTCATCGGCTGTGGTTTGCCAGCTCTTGACCTGGAAGGTACTTCCTGCAAAACCATCTTTTAAGTACTTTTCTGGACAAAGTAATGATCAAGAAAAAAAGAGCTTAAAGACAAGACCCCAATCGCTTGCTCCTTCCCAATAATTGACTCACTGCATTATTGTTTCTTGCATGGAGCAAAACAGATTGATTACTAGGCTTTTCCTGAGAAGGTGATCACAACTTCCACTTTTCGTCTGCCTCAATTCTTTTGAGAACTAGACAGCAGAAATCAATACAGAATTTAAAAATAATTCTAATGGCAACAGCTGTCACTCCCAATCTCTATCCAGATCAAGAATATACCTGAAATTGGCCAGGCATGGTGACTCACGCCTATAATTCCAGCACTTATGGGAGGCCAAGGCAGGTGGATCACTTGAGGTCAGGAGTTTGACACCAGTCTCCCCAGTATGATGAAACCCTGTCTCTACTAAAAATATAAAAATCAGCCAGGCGCGATGGTGGGTGCCTGTAATCCCAGCTACTCAGAAGGCTGAGGCTGGAGACTCGCTTGAACCCGGGAGGTGGAGGTTGCAGTGAGGTGAGATCGCGCCACTGTACACTCCAGCCTGGGCAATAGAGTAAGACTTAGTATCAAAAAAAAAAAAGAAAAGAAATACATGAAATCACAAGTCCAGCATCTTGAGCCAGTAGGTAACATTAGGCAACACTTCTGTAGGAAATCAGTCCAATCAAGGCTTAAAAGAAGTTAAACTAACATTTGTATAAAACTGAAGTGCAAATACAGGATCTCCTAAATGGTACATCGCCTTTCTAATGTTAAGTATCACCCCTGGGGAAAAAGAAATACAGAGACACACTTTTTTTTTTTGAGACAGAATCTTGCTCTGTCACCAGGCTGGAGTGCAGTGGTGTGACCTCTACTCGCTGCAACCTCTGCCTCCAGGGTTCAAGTGATTCTCCTGCCTCAGCCTCCCGAGCAGCTGGGACTACAGGTGCACACCACCACGCCCAGCTAATTTTTGTATTTTTTAAAGTAGAGATGGGGTTTCACCATGTTGACCAGGATGGTCTTAATCTCCTGACCTTGTGATCCACCTGCCTCAGCCTCCCAAAGTGCTGGGATTACAGGTATGAGTCACCGCACCCGGCCACATTCAGTTTTTAAATAGTCATTTGTGAGGAAGGATGAAAAGAACATAAACACACAAATAATATTCTCTGAGACCTCTGATGACCCTCTAAGTGAGGAAAGGATAAAACAGATGTGGGAAAGGGTGCTTTTTAAGAACGCTATTCAGATGTGAGGATAAAACAGGATATGTTTTCAGAAGACAGTCATTAGTTAAATGTAAAATTTTTTCTTTTGTGGGTACAGGGAAGACTTTCTCAGTTTTATTTATTTATTTATTTATTTTGAGAGAGTCTCATTGTATTGCCCAGGCTGGAGTGCAGTGGTGTAATCTTGGCTCACTGCAACCTCCATCTCCCAGGTTCAAGAGATTCTCCTGCCTCAGCCTCCCGAGTAGCTGGGATCACAGGTGCGTGCCACCACACCCAGCTAATTTTTGTATTTTTGTAGAGACGGTGTTTCACCATGTTGGTCAGGCTGGTCTCTAACTCCTGACCTCAAGTGATCCACCTGCCTCAGCCTCCCAAAGTGCTGGGATTACAGGAGTAAGCCAACACGCCCAGTGACTTTCTCAATTTTTTTTTTTTTTTGAGACAGAGTCTTGCTCTGTCACCAGGCTGCAGTGCAGTGACACAATCTCAGCTCACTGCAACCTCCGGCTCCCAGGTTCAAGTGATTGTCCTACCTCAGTCTCCCAAGTAGCTGGGACTACAGGCACGTGCCACCACGCCCAGCTAATTTTTGTAGTTTTAGTAGAGACGGGGTTTCACCATGTTGGCCAGGATGGTCGTGATCTCTTGACTTTGTGATCTGCCGGCCTTGGCCTCCCAAACTTCCTCAGTTTTAAAATGTGGGATGTTTCCTTCTAGCAGGACTGAATAAAAAGCACCCTGCTTTGAGGAAAGCAGACTTTACCCTGAATGACCAGCTTGTTGGGAAGCTGGGATAGTCCATTTCCCCTCCGGAAGACACGCTTTAAAACCAGGCAGCATACACAGAGCCCAGATGCTCTTTCTCTATCCCACCCCTGGGACCCCCAAACATCTCAGGCCTGGGCCATCTCTGGCTTTATGGAACCCTTGAGCATTGCTAACGGTGCGGCCAAGGAAGATTTAAGCTCCACAGTCCAGCAATCATGTTTTATACTTTAATGAGACAGGACTCAGTTCAACACTCAGTTCAGGATCAAGTCTACACCTGGGCAAATAAGGTATCCATGCTCACCTCACCCTGCCCTGATCTGAGCCACTCCCCACTTTCACCTTCACCAAAAGAGAAGGCAGAGAAGCAGAGAACAGGAAAAACACATTCTTACTGTGAACCCTACCCTATCCTGCTTCCCACACCCCCAACCCGCTGCCCCAGCAAACTACACTTGCAAATCTCACCTCCAACCCCGACCCAAGGATTCTGGAACAAGCAAGTATAAACAGTTGTCATCCATAAGTTTAACAAATCCCATTCAGTTGTGGGTTTTTTTTTTTTGGAGACGGAGTCTCACTGTTAACCAGGCTGGAGTACAGTGGCGCAACCTTGGCTCACTGCAACCCCTGTCTCTTCGGTTCAAGCAATTCTCCTGCCTCAGCCTCCACAGCAGCTGGAATTACAGGCATGCACCACTACCACTATATCCAGCTAATTTTGTATCTTTAGTAAAGACAAGGTTTCACCATGTCAGCCAGGCTGGTATCAAACTCCTGACGTCAGGTGATTTTCCTGCCTTGGCCTCCTAAAGTGCTGGGATTACAGATGTGAGCCATTGTGCCCGGCCTCCCATTCACTTTAAAGAGTACTTGAGTTATGAAAAGTACAAACAGAAGTTTATCTGAAAACAATATACCTAGTTGTATAAAACGAAATTTTAGTAGAGTTTTTTTTTTTTTTTTAACATACGTAAAATAAAATTCAAAACCAACAGCAGTTTTCTGTTTAGAACAAGTAATGCCCTCATCAGTGGTTAGAAGCAGCCAGAACAATGCTGTCGCTTGACATTACAGGATATGCTCCTTCTGATAAAGGGATTGGAATATACCGACAGGTCATGCACGGCCTACACACGTCATGTATCATTATAAACAGAGGCAGCAACTGGAGAACTGTCAGATGACTCACAAACAGCACAACAAAAAAAGCAAAGGTTTCAGGAAATACACTCAGACAGTGCTACTTACTGTATAAATCTGTTTCATCTAGAATCTCAGATTTGATGATTTCTTCAATCACATCTTCTAAGGTGACAATTCCCAAAACTTCATAAAACGGATCTCCTTCTCCCTCATTGTTTACCCGCTGCACGATAGCCAGGTGAGATTTACCTTTAGAGAAAATAAAAAGTTTAGGAAGTGACTTTCTGAATTTCCTGAATGACATGTTATACGTAATACGGTAAAAACATCAGCAAACACAGATGCCGAATTACCAAAATCTCTGTTTCAGCATTTTAAAATTGTACTGAGATGTCACCAACAAATGGAAGAACTTCATGAGTCATTAAAAGGCAGAAAAAGTTATGCCAGAAGAGTGTCACCCTCGACATACATGGCACTGCACCATTGTTCTCTGCTTCCTAATGGTAATGTCTCTTGGTGCATAATCTTTCAGCAACTGCCACCTAAAGAGAGTGGTTCTCAAAGTTCATGGTGCCCTAGGGATTCCCAAGACCCTTCTAGGAGGTCCGTGAGGCCCAACTATTTTCATAAGAATACTAAGATGCTATTGGCCGTTTTCACTGTGTTGACATTTGAGCTGATGGTGAAAGGCACCTTAGCACAGATGAAGGTAGTGGGAGCGAGCTGCACGTAGTGATTGCTGTTCTCTGTCACAACGCACATGCAGTAAAGGGAAGGAAGTGGCTTCTCTTAAAAATGTACTGGGCTGGGAGCGGGGGCTCACTCCTGTAATCCAAGAGCTTTGGGAGGCCTAGGCAGGATGACTGCTTGAGCCTAGGGGTTCACGATCAGCCTAGGTAATACCGTGAGATCACGTCTCTACAAAAAAACAGAAAAAGTAGCTGGACATGCACGCCTATGATCCCAGCTTCCTGGGAGGCTGAGGTGGGAAGATCCAGGAGTTTGAGGCTGCAGTGAGCTATGATCGAGTCACTGCACTCCAGCCTAGGTGACAGAATAAGAGACTGTCTTTTTTTTTTTTTTTTGAGACGGAGTCTCGCTCTGTCGCCCAGGCTGGAGTGCAGTGGCCAGATCTCAGCTCACTGCAAGCTCTGTCTCCCAGGTTTATGCCATTCTCCTGCCTCAGCCTCCCAAGTAGCTGGGACTACAGGTGCGGACTACAGGCGCCCGCCACCTCGCCCAGCTAGTTTTTTGTATTTTTTAGTAGAGACGGGGTTTCACCGTGTTAGCCAGCATGGTCTCGATCTCCTGACCTTGTGATCCGCCCGTCTCGGCCTCCCAAAGTGCTGGGATTACATGCTTGAGCCACCACGCCCGGCGACACTGTCTTAAAAAAAAGTCCTTGCTGAAGCAGTAAACGTTAATTTCATTAAATCCTGACCCAAGTACATGTCTTTTGGTAATCTCTATGACAACCTGAGAATTGCCATAAAACACTTCTGTTGAATTCTGAAGTACGGCAGCTGTGTTGAGGAAAGACTCTTGTGATTGACTTGCAAGTTGGACCAGCCATTTTCATTATTGAATGTTTTTACTTCAAAGACTGACTACTAGACAAACTGGTTATACCGACTTGGGTATATGTCAGGCATTTTCTCAAAAATGAACCTGTCACATCAAGGAAAACAACAGGCAGGGTGGACTACCAATGATAAAATTTGAGCTTTCATCAGAAAATTAAAATTTTGTCTGGGCGCGGTAGCTCACGCCTGTAATCCCAGCGCTTTGGGAGGCTGAGGTGGGTAGATCACCTGAGATCAGGAGTTTGAGACCGGCCTGGCCGACATGGTGAAACCCCGTCTCTACTAAAAATACAAAAATTAACTGGATGTGGTGGTGTGTGCCTGTAATTCCAGCTACTCAGGAGGCTGAGGTGGGAGAATCACTTGAATTTAGGAGGCGGAGGTTGCAGTGAGCCGAGATTGTGCCACTGCACTCCAGGCCTAGGCAACAGAGTGAGACTCCCACTCAAAAAAAAAAAAAAAAAAAAAGCTGAGTGCAGTGGCTCACACTTGTAATTGCAGCACTTTGGGAGGCAGATCACTTGACGTCAGGAGTTCAAGACCAACCTGGCCAACATGGTGAAACCCTGTCTCTACTAAAAATACAAAATAAATTAGTCAGGCATGGTGGTGCGTGCCTGTAATCCCAGCTACTCAGGAGGCTGAGGCAGGAGAATGGCTTGAACTCAGGAGGTGGAGGTTGCAGTGAGCCAAGATGGTGCCATTGCACTCCACCCTGGGCAACAAGTGAGACTGTCTCAAAAAAAGAAAATCAAAATTTTTGGAAACTTGTAGCCACCACGAGCGTAATAGCTTCTCACAATTAAAGACTCTTCTGATGAGATTGCTGGTGATAGCAACAAACGATTTTTTAAAATATTGAATATTGCAATCTGTCAACATTTTGAAGATCTGTATAACTCAGTGAACCAATAATTTTCAAGTGACTATGGTAATGATGTTACAAAATCATGCAAGAGTACACAATCCATTTGGAGTGTAAGACAGAACAACGGATTTAAAAAAAAATTCTTATTTTGGAATAATTTTAGACTTACAGAAAAGTTGCAAAGAGTACAGAGAGTTCCTATAAACCCTTTACCCGGTCTCCCCCATTGTTAACATCTTACCCTACCATGATATATTTGTCAAAACTAAAATTGACATTGGTACATTACTATTAAGTAAACTCCAGGCTTTATTTGGATTTCGCTGATTATTTCTATAACATCCTCTTTGTTTTGTTGTCTGGTTCAAGGCACCACACCACATTTAGTTGTCATGTCTCTTTAGTCTCCTCTGGTCTGTGACAGTTTTTTGGTCTTTGCTTTTTATGACACTGACAACATTGAAGGGTACTGGTCAGGCCTCCTGCAGAATATCCTCCGATTTGAGCTTGTCTGATGTTTTACCCATGAGTAGACTGGGTTATAGGTTTTCTAGTTACATCACATCAGTGGTTATATGTCATCACTGCTGACGTTCACCTTTTTCATCATTTGGTTAAGGTTGTGTTTCCCAGGTTTCTCCATTGGAAAGTTACTCATTTTTCCCTTTCCTTAATTCTATTATTTGAAAACAAGTTGCTAAGTCTAGCCTACCCATTCAAGGATGAGAGTTAAGCTCTACTTCCTGGAATAGGGAGGTATCTACATATATTATTTGGAAGGGGGAGTACCTACATATATTATTCAATATTCTTCTGTAAAGAAGATTTCAGTCCAAACAAAGTTAATGTAAGAGTCCAAATGTCCACTGGTATGGTTTCAGATTCTACACTGCAACTAACCTTTAAGAAATTACTACCTATGGAGTTCTGATGTAATATCAAAGGAGAATACCCATCACTGTCCAAAAAAGCTGATACTCCTCCCTTTTCCAAATACGTACCTGTGTGAGGCCAGATTCTCCTGATACACTTCTACTAACACAGTATACCACACAGACTGAATGCAAAAGACTGAACCCAGCTGCCTTCCCTTTAGCTTGATTAGACATGCAAAAAGTAAAACAATGGCACTCTTCTACCATTTGTTTTAGAAAATATTTTTATTAAAAACACTATGTTAGCATGCAATGGATTACTGTCCTTTAAATCAACCAATGTTTTGAAAGTCTCCATTTTAATTCAAATATATTAATATCAAAAGATAGAAACCACATAAATAAAAGGATTCTGAATCATTTTTAAGAGTTTCAAGGGATCTGAGACTAAAAAAAGTTTAACCCATTTATGTCAGAGGTTGCAAGTTTTTGTGAAAAATCAGACCTTGGTGATGATCTTGAGCAGCAGAATATAAATAACCCCCACAAGCTTAGCATTCCAATAATGGAACACTAGGCATAAATAGATTAAAGACTGCTGCTTTTGGGGATGGATCACTTGAGACCAGGATGGCAAGGGAAGAACATGAGTTGAACAGTTCTGGATTTGAACTCCAGCAGGCCACTCATTAGCCATTACTAGCAGAAGACCATGAGCAAACCTAACTTTTCTGAGTTTCAGTCTCCTTATCTCTAAAGCCAGCCTCATAATTGCTACTGCGATAGAGTTGTTGTGAAGATCAGAGATAATGCTGGTACCCAGCAAAGACACTGCCTGGAATCCACTGGGTGATCAATAAGTGGTAACGCTCGTTATTTTATTAATGTTTTTCCTAAATTCTAAGGCACCATCAACTTATTACCAGCTTAGAGGGAAAAAAACCCCACTATATTATTAAATGTACACAGTGATTAGAAGATGCACCTCAGGCAGGGCACAATGGCTCACACCTGTAATCCCAGCATTTTGGGAAGCCAAGGCAGGAGGATCGCTTGAGGCCAGGAGTTTGGGACCAGCCTGGGCAACACAGTAAGAACTCATCTCTATAAAAAAAATAAAAGTAAAAAAGACACATTTCAATCTCAAAGATCTTTTAAAATAGTAAGAGCATCTCTCAAACAACAATATTGGTTTTCCCAATCCAAAGCATGCGAAGTATCTAAAACATATCCATAAATGAAGCAAAATAGGCATAATCTGGAAACTTCATAATCAGTTAATTTTTGTATAACTTCTGTTTAATGACAGAGTGTTTTCTTGGTGGTGGGGGTGCAAGAGCTTTAAATAAAGTTTAGTTAACACTTTAAGTTGGGTAAGTTTGCCCAGATACAACCAGCCACATTAAAAATATTCTGAGGGCTGCATCTGATCAAGTTCCCAGCACTTACGCAGACGCTGGCTCTGGTCCTGCGGATCTGTTGGCCCTTTCTTAACTTGGCAGTCTAAGTCAGCTTCTGCTCTGCCTCAGACCCCCTTCTAGGCAGCCGCGTCTACAAGCCTAGAAGTTTAGATTGTTAGACAATTAGGCGTCCTAAAATTTTCATCCCTAGCATGCTCACGCTCAAAGAATGAAAATATTTTGAGCAGAGGAGACAAGGAGGGAAACTTATCAGCAATGGATATAAACACTGCATCAGGTCAAGTCAATTCTCATCTCGTCCAGTTGGTCCAGTAGGTTTCTCACATCTGCTTTCCCAAGGACCCAACATAAGCAGTTAAAAATTCTTGGTGAATGCTGTCTGTCGAAAGTTAAATTCTTTTGCTATTCCCAGCTTGTGATCATTTAAAAGGAATTTTCCAAAGCAAGGTCTAATATTAGACTCAAAATGAAGTTTCCATTCCACTGAGGCGCTATTCTC